ATGCTTGGGAGGGTGGAGGGACGGCGCAGGAGAGGAAGGCCCTCTATGAGGTGCATTGATTCAGTGACTGGGATAATTGGGATGGGAGTGTCAGAGACAATGCGATTGGCACAGGACAGAGCAGAGTTTAGGGCTATTGTACAAAGGGTCGCTATGTGTCGCAAGTGACTCGACGGCACATAACAACAGTAATGGATATGCAGATGATACAACCTTGCTTGCTGAAACAGAAGAGGATCCTGACTTGCTGCAGAAGGTCAAAGACTGTAGTCTTCAAGATGGATTGAAGCTCAACATCAAAAAGACAAAGATTCTCACCATTGGGTTAGTTGTCAGCACCATGATAGATGGAAAAGAGATCGAGGTTGTTAACAATTACAGCTTGCTCAGCTCCACAATCAACACTCTTAGCACCAGCAGTTAGAAAATCAAAAGGTGAATTGCACTGCAAAAATCTGCTGTCAGGAACCTCTCCAGGGTAGATGCACCTAATCCAGGCCATGGTCTTTGCAATTATTTGTTATGCATCAGAGAGCTGGACAATGACTAAAGATAGAAGAAGAATCAATGCCTTCAAATTGTGGTGTGGAGAAGAGTCGTGAACATACTGAAAACAAATAGTTCTATCTTAGGGTAAAACCAAGTTTCTCCTTGGAAACGAGGATTTTGAAGCTCCAACTCACATACCTTGGGCACATGGCCAGGAAAGATCCTTGGAGAAGGACATCATGCTCAGAAGCATGGAGGGACAGTGCAGGAGAGGAAGACTCCAGATGAGATAGACTGATACAGTAACTGGGGAAATGGGAGTTAGTATGTCAGAATTAGTGAGACTGTCTCAGGACAGAGCAGGGTTCAGAGCTGCTAAACATAAGGTTGCTATGGGTTGCAGGCAACTCTCAACGGTACGTCACAACAATAACAATCATGGATATACCAGAAAGTGCCTTAAGAACAAACAAATCTGTCTTGGATGAAGTGAAGCCAGAATTAGGTGATAAGACTTTGTCTTACTTACTTACATAAATTAGGAAAAATAAGTCCCTGGAGAAAGACAGCATGCTTGGTAGAGGATCAGAAAAAAAAAAAGTGGAAAGCTGGATTGACTTGGTGGCTTCAATAATGGGCTCAATCAAGCAGAGTAATGATGAGGATGATAGATTGAGGTAATGTTTCATTGTGTTGGACATAGATCTCTAGGAGTCAGATTGGAAGCACATAATATCTGGCTATTTACGGATGAATCCTTTCATTAAATGGAATGTTTTTAAGGTCCATTCATAATATAAATCAATATGATTTAATTTCTGATTTAAGCAGTGTAGTGGTTAAAGACCTTGGCAAAAAAAATAAAAAAAAATCTGTAGTTGAAATCCACTAGGCTCTCTGAAGAAAGACGAGGCAGTTTCCTTCTATATAATTTATAGCTTTGGAAACTCTGAGGTAATTTTTTGTCTTTCAACAACTAAACATATAATGTATGAGTGATATAGACAAGAATAGTGATTTTTGAAGTCAAAGAAACCCACAATCAATCAAAGTATTTTAAGATTTTTTTTCTATTAACATGTATAATTTTCCTCATAGTTGACTTAAAGGTTAAGTGAGATAATTTATATAAAACTTCTTTCTAGTATATTGTTTTTCACATGCTTAACTCTCAGGACTTTTGAAACTAAAGGAAAAAAAATTTCTTTTTAATCTTAAAAATTTTATCTCATTGGCATTATACCCTTGAGGGGAAAAAAAGACAGTTGTAGAATGGAGTCTAGTTCACACTGTGGCTTTGATCAGGTTTCTGAGGCGGTAAATCTTTATAACGGAAGACTTTTTCCTGTGGAGCCCTTTGTGGATTTGATCTGATAACCTTTTGGTTAGTTATCTGACACATAAAGCTCTATAAAGCTGAGAATTTTAAAACTTTCCCTCTGAGGTTTATGTAGAGGTAGGGATGAGCTTGTCAACTAGGCTAAGAAAAAAAGGTGGTCTTAAAACAATCAAAACTATTGATGATTGGAGATTTCTTCCTCTTTCCTATAGGGTACAGCAAAAAGAACCATAAAAAGGAATGCTTTTAAAAATAGCCACTCTTCAAGGAAAAGAGTGAACTGGAGTGGGAGGGGGTGTGCAGAGTGAAAAGTTCAACAATGAATGACTGGAAGCCCTAAGTCTCTGTAAGCTTTCATTAAAATTAATAAAAAATAGCCACTCTTCAAAGTTTAACTGGACAGCAAGTAATAAATGTTGAAGAGGATTTGGAGAGATAGAACTCTTATACACTGTTTTTGGGGTTGTAAAATGGTACAAACACTCTGGAAGGCAGTGTGGCGTTTTCTCAGAAAGCTGAACATAGAAATTCCATATGATCCAACTTTCACCACTTGGAATAAACATATTCTCAGAGAATGAGAACTGAGGCACAAAGAGAGACTTGCACACCAATATTCATAGCAGCATTATTCACCATCACAAGAACATGCAAACAGCCCAAATGTCCAACACAATCGAATAGAATGAGAAATTATAATACATTCACGTGATTGGGTTACACAGCATGCAGGAGCAATGATTTTGTAAATCACTACCTAACTTGTGAGGGACTAGAGAGCATTATGATAAATGAATTAACTCAGTCTCTTAAAGACAAATACTGTATAAGATCATAATTGTAGAAATAAATAACTGGTAAAACATGTAAGAGGATCTAAAGGGGGAGGAGAAGCAGAGAAGTGAGGATGAGTGGGGGTGGTAATCATTGGGTCACACAATTTGATGGGTGGAGGGAGGGGTGGGTTAAGGAAATGGGAAAGGTCAGATGAGAAAAACAATAGATATGAACTTTGTTAAGTAGACCAGTACAAAGTAAAAAAATTTATATTAAAAAAAAAAAAAATAGCCACACTCTTGGTACCAGCAGACCGGAAATTAAAAAATGAATTGCATCGGGAAAATCGGCTGTCAGCAACCTCTCCACGGTACTGAGGAGCAACGATGACAGTGTGGAGACTAAGGTGCACCTGATATATGCCATGGTCTTTGCCATTACTGGCTATGCATCAGCGAGTTGGACAATGACTAGAGATGATAGATGGAGAGTTGATGCCTTTGAGCTGTGGTGCTGGAGAAGAATACTGAAAATACCATGGACTGCTAGGAGAACAAACAAGTTCATCCTGGAGAGCAGAGTTTAGGGCTGTTGTACAAAGGGTTGCTATGACTCGTAAGCGACTCGATGGCACATAACAACAACATATACTAACACAATTAAAACTATGTGTGTGTGTGACTCGCAAGCGACTCCACGGCATATAACAACAACATATAGCTAACACAATTAAAACTATGTGTGTGTATTTTTATATATCTATATATCTTTATCTATACATAGTGTTAATGAAAATACGGCAAAATATTACAATTCAAATCTACATGATGAGTATGAAAATGAGTGTTCTTTAAATTAATCACCCTTTCCTGTATGCAAGAAATATTTCAACATAAAATTTAAAATAAAGAACCAAACAGAAAATAAAAATGTTTTTGATGAGTTTATTTTCACACACGTAAAAATTACCCCTTTCAAGATACATACAAAAAGTATTTTTCTAATATCAAAATAAGCATTTCTTCGGTATTGAAGTCATATATGTTATCTTTAAGTAAAAAAATTAATCAAGAACTATGGCCTAATATGTTGAACAAAACTGTTCTTGCCCATCCATTTGTCCCCTTTCATCGCCCTTTTGGGGCTTTACAATACAGGTATGCATATATCACTATATACAAAAGATTTAAGATGTCATATCAAAGAAGGCACAGAATCTTTGACACAAACTACTAGAAAAATAAACAAAACCTAAACAAAAAAGACAACATATAAGTAAAACATAGTTACTAAATTCAAATAAAATGAAAACAATAATATAGTTTAAATCTGATGCACTGAAAAAAGCTTTAGAATTTTTATATGAACAACTTGCAATGCTCCCAAAATAATATTAACAGCTGCTGAGCCTGAACCAACTCAGAGCTGACTCTTCAGGCAGTTTTCAGAGGCTAGCTATCACAATGGAGTAGACTGTCCATCTTTCTCCTACTGAGTGGCTGGTAGATTTGAACCACTTGCCTTTGGGTTGGCAGTGCCAACTCCATACCCATCAGCCACCAGAAATCCCTCTAATAGGATACTTTAGATAGTTAGCAAGCATACAAAACTTTTTAATATAGAAAGTATTAACTTTAAAAGCAGTTAATCCACAAAAATAGATAAAAAACGTATGCATGAAATTTTCCCCCAATTTCTGAAGTAAAGGCCCTTGGCGGGGGGAAGCATCATAATAGGTAAAAAATATATTTTAAAAAAACAGTTCGTAAATGATCAAATCTCTGGTTGCTCTGTTTTGTTGGGGGTCTTTGCCCTGCTTCTACTTTAAAAACAAAGTGTATGAACCAGAATTTCATTGACTTGAAGGAAAGACTTAAAAAAATCTGTAATTCTTGGAATCCTCTTGTGAAATGATAACACTTTGCCTAGATGCTACTGGTAGCAATATAGTATTAATACCAAGTCCACAAAACCTTAGAGGTGAGAAATATTTAAGGGTAATCAAACACTCTGCAGCATAAAAAATGTCAGTATTCTGACAGTACAATAATGAAGGAAAATGTCATTCTTAGTATACAAACTGCTTGAAAAATATTATACTGTCCATGTATACATGTGTAATTATTATACATGCAGAAAATGAACATAATATACAATCGTTATTTAAATAACTTATCAAGTCAAATCAGTTGTCAGGTTTTAAAGAATCGTAACCTTCTTTCAATAGGTCCCGCCAAGTTTTAAGGAAGCGTGCATTTTCTGTACATTTGAGGGCAAGCTCTTCCACTTGAGCTGACACTGCAGAAGTGGCTTCAAGAAGTTGAGCTAAGGAAAATGCTGCCTAAAAGTTAAAAAAAAAAAAGTCAAACAGTGGAAGCTCATTTTTAAATTCTTACCTCATTTTATAAACAGCTTAAAAATAGCTAAAATCCTTAAATCCAAAGCCCATGTTATTGTCTGTAAAATTTTCATATAAGAACACACTTTCCAGGAAACTAAAAAATTCTTTAATTTGAAGTTAAGCATTCATGAAAATACACCAGAAAAATATTCATTGTAGGGGAGCTCTTGTGGTCTAGTGGCAAGGAGCTGTAACTACAATCCCAGAGGCGAACGGTTTGAATCCACCAGATGCTCTGCCGGGGAAGGAGGGACATTCTCCTCCTGTACCAGTCAGATCTGATTTGACGGTACACACACACACACATAATAAAATTTAAAAAAATTTGGAAAAAATATTCATTGTGTTGAAAACACAACAAACAGCGTTTTACTTTACTGAAAACACACTAGGAGTCTGTCTCTAGCTCATTAAGACAACTTGGACTGGTCAACGCAAGTACCAGAAGTACTGAAGACCTAACCACAAATTGTACAGGTATTTGGGTTAAATAAAAAGTGTACTATTCTACTATGAACCCATTAGACTGTGTAAACAAGGAGATTAATGAATATTCTTTGATTCTGACAAGTAACAATAAAATCTCTAATACACACACAAACATATGCACACGGTTCATAAAATATCCAACTTTTAGTGGAAAATGCACTTGTTACACAAGTGTTTTCTTCAATAAGGTAAAAGCACTGTGCCTAGACAACATATCATCTCATCATTCTATGTGTTCACCTTGTAACTAACGAGTCTTGTTCCAGCAAACAGAAGCTGGAATTCTTAGTCAATTTAAACAAATGCAAGTGTACTTCTTGTACAAATAGATAATCGGGTTAATTCTCCAACTGCTAATTGACACAGGCGGGCAAGGACATTATTTGTTCCACAAAGAGCTCACAGGCCAGTTATGATGCCTCAAGTCTGCAAATAATTAAATCGTGACCTCTGATGGTAGGGTGTGGGGTGTGTGGTGTGTTAACTGTAGGAAGGCAGGGAACCAAAAAAAAGGCTAATAATGCACCCATTCCTCCAACTACAGGGAGGAATCCTGTACTACAATAAATGACATATTGGAGACTCTAGGGGCCATGACTAACCGTTCAAGCGGTGTCCAAGCTAAACTTCTCCCAGGAAGACAAGCAGCATTATCAGCTGACTCTTGGCAGGTGTCCAACTAGAACACCAGGCTCTAAATCCCCAGAGAGAAATCTCCGCCCAATCCTAAACAAACTGAAAGGTTATCTCTGGGGACCATTAACACTGTGCTCAGGAGTCCGAGGAGTGGACAGAAAAGGCACACGGCGCCGCAGTGGAGCCACAAGGTTTCAAGTTACTGAGAATGATTGAAACCAGAAGGCGAGGCAGACAGAAAACAAGAGCTGGAGCGCCTACGTGTAACCCCTTCATTTCCTCACTAAATTTTAAGGCGGAATCCTAAAGTTGAAGTGCACTTGGGCTGCGGGCGTCCCCGTGTAAACTCTCGTTGGACAGGGGAGAGGTGTGAGATAGGCGAGGGGGTGCGGGGTACAAGGCACTCACGTCTCCGATCTGCAACTCCACTTCCTCCAACGGGTCCACTATTAGGCCGCTGCTCCTCCTCGGAACCTGCCAACCCAGACTCGATGGAACGCCAGGGGAAGGTGAAGAGGCGTCTGCAGACGAGGGAGAGGAAGGAGGAGGTGGGGGCGGCGAAGATGGCTGCACGTCCTCTAGCTCGGCCATGGAGAAAAGCAGGGACAGTGATTCCCAGATGGAGCAGCCGAACCGACACCAACAGTCTTTCAACCGCTCGCGCCCAAAGTTTAGAGGCCCCACCTCCTGCCGCCCCAAGCTCCGCCCTCGTGGCTCTCGGCCCAGGAATCCCAAAGAGGGCAGGGAAGCATCCTTGGGAACAGCCAATCAGACATCAGCCAATTTGTCACAGGCCACTCATCTGTCCTGCGAAGACCTCCTGCAGCTGCGCCTGCGCATAGCAGCCCAGCGTTGAAAGCACTCGAACAAAGACTACAGTTCCCAGAAGGGCTGCGTATAGCTCCACACACCACACCCACCCTTTGCTAAGTGTGCATTGTAGTATGGCGAGTGGGAGGCCCACACTCAGTCCTCAGCTTGAAGCCCAGGCGCTGGAGTCTGGACTCCCTCTCTTCCCTCCTCCCCACCCCCCCCAAAAAAAAAAATTTAAAAAAAAAAAAAAATCTTATGACCCGGAAGTGTGTTCCAGTCATCAGAAGAGTAGCGTCGGCGCAAAGCGACACAGAGGCGGGAACAAGCAAGAGAAGTGGGTTGACCTGAGAGTCAACCTTCAGTGGAGAGGTTGGAGGCTCTCGGCAGGTGATGGCGCCCCCCGTGGCTTAGAGGTCCAGCGCCAGTGGCGACCTTCGAACAGTCCTCCTTGATTTGTTTCAGACCAAGAGAGCCCTGGCTTCTGTCAACATGTTACCGCCGCTGGCCAAGCTGTCCTGCCGGGGTGAGCGACAATTCCGGGCGGGAATAAGGGGAGGAAGGTCGAGAAGCGAGGGTGAAACTGAACCACGCGTCGGGGCTGTGGTCGGTTCTTCCCACCCACATCTGCACTTCATACTCAGACTAAACTAGGGCAAAGGTCGGCCCTTGTTGCTGGACCCTGGATTCCAGAAAGGGTCCTCTCTGTTGATACAGTTGCCATCTGGGGTAAAGGTCAAGGCCAGGGAAAATTTGTCAACAAGAACCCCCGTGGACTTCTCACCTGTATTGGACCTAATCTTGATCTGGACCCTTATCTTAACCTAGGTGTTGGGGTTGTTGGAAGTTGGAAAATATATTTGCCATATTTCTCCTTGGTCTTTGCAGTCGGTAAATTAACTCTTAATTTGGATTCTTACCTGACGCATCAAGATTAACGTTCATATGCTGCCCAGTTCACAAAGATTAAATTCTGAAGACAGGAATTTTTCTGCATTGTCTAAAATTTGTTGTATGTGTTATGGAGTCTTAAATTTAAAACTTAGGGAGTAAAATGAAGCAAATTGAGTATCTTTAAGATTTCTGTTAAACCCACGCGCAGTTAAAAATTTAAGCTTAGGAAAGTTTCTTCAAGGATTTTCGAGTTCTGTCACAACTGGCTTAAAATTTTTTATTCCTAAATTTATTAAAGTGATTTTTTTCTTTTTGTAATACTTAAGCATACTTCGGAGCTAGTCTAGGTTCAGCTCCAGACCTCCGTAATAAAGGGACTATCACAATAAAATTAACCGCCTCATCTTTTGTTTGTTTATTTCATGGGGTAATATTATTTACATTATTTGTTTTTATTACTGCATTATTTTTACTTATTATTACAGCATATATATTATTTATAATAATAATGTTCACATTATTAAGTGCAATAACATTGTGAAAATATTAAAACTGAGAATTATAAAAATGTAACATGCATGAACTGAACACATACTTTTGGTAAACTAGACTTGTTTGATGCAGGGCTGCCAAAAAAAATCTTCTGTTTGTAATGTAGTATGTGTGATGGCAATAAAAAGAGGTTTATCAGTATACATAGTGCAAAAGTTAAGATTTCTTATTTTGTACACTTCATGGAAGAATTTTGTCAGATTTGGTCTCTGTGTAGTAAGTAGTTAGGATTTTGTTTAACATTTCTGTTAGCTCATTCTTCAATTAATACAGTTGGATAAATCTATAAGGAAGTTCTGACGGCATGGTGGTAAAAAGCTGTGTTACAATCCCAAAGTTACATAGATTGACTCCACCGCTGGCTGCTCCATGAGAGAAGGCTGGACAGTCTCTTCCTTTGTGATTTTCTGTCTGTGGACACCTGCTGGAAGATCACTTCCCACTTGACAGTACACAACAGTAACATGTCTTGGGAACAGACTAGTCAGCTATTATGGCTCAGTGGTTAAGCCTGGCACTGTTAAACAAGTCAGCAGCTCAAATCCATGAACTGCTCCTGGGGAGCAAAATGAAGCAGTAAGCTTCAATGCCTGTGGTACCAGCAGTCAGAAATCAAAAGACACTCTGCACTAGGAAATTTTGCTGTATCAGTATAAAGACTTAAGTAAGGAACACTTGGTCCAAGCCATGGTCTTTTCAGTTACTTGTTATGCATCTGAAAATTAGACAATGAATAGTAATCAATGCCTCTAAGTTGTGATATTGGAAAACAGCACTGAATATCCCATGGACTGCCGAAAGAACAAACAAATATGTCTTAGAAAAGGTACAACCAGGGTACTCCTTAGAGGTAAAGATGATGAAACTTCAGCTCATAGTTTTGAGCATGTTCACAAGAGGTGAAAGGACATCATGTTTGAAACGGTGGAGAGTCAGTAGAAAAGAAGAACTTCATCAATGAGTTGGATTGGCACAGTGACTGTAACAGTGGGCTCAAGTGTATCAGAGGTGATGAGATGGCACAGGATAGAACAGGTTCAGACGCGTTGTTTGTAGATAGAGTCACTATGAGTAGTAGATCACTCAGTAACACCTAACTCTAACAACTAAGTTTATATAAAGAAAGCTAGGTTTACCCTGAGGGACAGTTCTGCACTGTCTAATAGGGTTGCTATGAGTTAAGTCAACTTGCTGGCAGTGAGTATAAATATCTGCTGTAAAGTTTAATTAAAGTCAATGTTGGACCTGCTGTTAGTTGCCATCAAGTGAGGCCCAGCTCATAGTGACCCTATGTATGACATAAGAAAAGCCTAATCAGTCCTGGAGCATCCTCACAATATTTTTTTGTGCTTAAGATCATTGTTCTGTCACTCTTTTTTGAGGCTTTTCCTCTTTTTCACCAACTCTCTAGTTTGATATCCCTCTTCAGGGCTATCCGTCTTCAGGGACTGGCCCCTTTGAATAAAATGCCAAAATTTTGTGAAATAATGTTTTATTATCCATGTTACTAAGGAGCTGTCTAATTTTGCTTCTTTCAAGACATCTTCTTTTAGAGATCTTGATATTTGTCCTCAAAACCATAATTCAAAGACATTACTTTTTAAAAAGTTTTATTGTAACTTAACATTTATAGGTCATATTGGTTCTTCATTCAGTTATCCCTACACATCTTTTATTATAACATTAAGACTGATTATGTAATTAATTTTGGAAGCAGGAGTGGCATCCAATTCCATAAATAGCTTGCCTCTATGAACCTGGAGAAAGGATGAAAGTCACGCAAGTGTTGAGAACTTTCATTCATAGGGTCGCTGTGAGTCACCTATGACTCAATAGCACTTAACAACACAACATGTAATTAATTACAATGTGTGAAAAGAGCTAGGGCCATGTAAGGATAACCATATCTGACCTTTATCAGCTTAACAAAGGGAAACTATCCTAGTCAACAGTGTCAACGACAGACACAGAACCAATTCCCATGAGATCAGGTATGCCCCTGCCCGTGTGCTCCCATAACTTTCTGCTCCTCCTAACACCAGTGTTACTGTTTTCCTGGGTCCAAAATCTTGTGCAATATCTCACAGTCTGCACAGAACCATAGTGGAGAAGTCAAATGGTTTAGTCCAGGTTGGTAGCAGAATACAGTCAGGACAGCACTGAAGTGTTCTCATGGGCACCTCAGCTTTAAGGCCAGTGTTACAAAGTTCTCAGTCCTGCCAATATTGCCTCCCACCCCTAGTTGTCTAACAAACTTGAACAAAGGTTTTTATCAGTCCCAATGTACCATCTCACATCAGATCTCTGGTTCTCCTCTGTGGCTGCTATGGCTGTTGGTCTGGTAGGTCCTCTTGCTTGCTCTTTTCCTGGCTGTGAGATTTTTCTTCTTCACTGGTGGGGAAGGTCTAATTCTCTTGCTACTGGATTGCTTAATATAATGGCCAGACTAGCCAGTCCCCTTGTGGATAGCCTTGCACACCCCAGTTGCATTTGCAGCTACAAAGCAAAGTAAAACTATGGCAAGGAAAGTCATATTGAAAGAGAAACTCCACACAATGTCTAATCACCCTCCTTATGTATATTGCTTTTCCTTCATCCAGTTTATTTTTTAATTTCTTTTGGTGTTAACCATCTAAGAATGATTCTGTATGTAAGCCTTTCCTTAATTTTTTATAATCTAGTTTTATACAATAATTCCCTTTTGTGACAGAGTTAAGTCATTCAGCATCATTTTCTCTAGATTCAATCATGTTACACAGTGTTTCATGAGATCTTTTATCATTCTTTAGTGTTGCATGACAATCCCATGTGTGAATGGACACCCACAGTTTCTTTAATTCCTTTCGTTTATCCGCTCATAGACTTTTGCGTTGTTTCCTTCTTTTTGCTATTTTAAATACTGCAATAAACATGCATGTGCGTGACAGGTCTGCTCACGTTTCAGAGGTGGTGCTGAATGATGCCTGGAAAACTTCTTAGTGACACCGCTTTGGACACTGACGCGACCATGGGAAGATCGGAGACATCGCGAAAAGCTAATGAGAAGAAAGCTAAAAAAGAGAAGCCAGAATCTATCAAGACAGAAGAATCAGTAGAAGGAAAAGAAGACACTGTTTCCCCCAAAGCTAAAAAGATGAAAAAGAAAGCCTAGCCTTCTGAAGTGGAAATTAATTCCCCTAAATCTAAAAAGGTGAAAAAGAAAGAAGAGCAGTCTCAAGATGGCATTATTTCACCCAAAACCAAAAGTGTGAAAAAGAAAAAGGAACCTGCTGAAGATCAAGTTGCTTCTCCTAAAATAAAAAAAAAAAACAGTAAAAAATGAAGAACCTTCAGAA